GTTATCAATGAAAAAAATAGGTACAAATGTGAGGGTGCTAATTCAGGGCACATACAGAGTACCAACCATTTTGAAAAGTACACAAACAAAAATAGACAAAAAAGATGAGTGGGACATACTAAAAATTAAAAACTTATGTGCATCAAAAGACTTCACCAAAAGAGTAAAAAGGGAACCCATAGAATGGGAAAAAATCTTTTGCAATAACACATCAGATAAGGGACTCATTTCTAAAATATATGGGAAACTACAATACCTCTAAAAGAAAAAGACAAATAACCCAGTTAAGAAATGGGCACAGGACATGAACAGACACTTCACCAAGGAGGAGATCCAGGTGGCCAACAAACACATAAAGAAATGTTCACGATCACTAGCCATCAGAGAAATGCGAATCAAAACAACAATGAGATATAATCTCACACCAGCAATAACAGCAAAGATTAAAAAAAAAAAGCAGAAGACAACAAATGCTGGCAAGGATGCAGAAAGACTGGGACCCTCCTACATTGTTTGTGTCATTGCAAAATGGTCTAACCACTCTGGAAAGCAATATGGCACTCCTCAGAAGGTTGGAAATAAAAATACCTTGTTGTTGTTAGGTGCCATCGAGTAAGAACTGACTCATAGTGACCCCATGCACAGCAGAACGAAACAATGTCCGATCCTGGGCCAACCTCACTACCGCTGCCACACTTGAGTCCATCAATGCTGCCACTAGGCCGATCCATCTCATTGGGGAGTCTTCTTGTTTTTCTTAACCCTCCATCCAACCAAGCATGATATCCTTCTCCAATGACTGTTCCCTCCTGACAATATGTCCAAAGTATGAGAGACAAAGTTTAGCCATCTTGACCTCTAAGGAGCACTCTGGCTTCACTTCTTCAAAAACAGATCTATTGGTTCTTTTGGCAGCCCGTGGCTCAAAAGCATCAATTCTTCTGTGATATTCCTTATTCACTGTCCAGCTTTCGCATCCATATGAGGTTATTGAAAATACCATGGCTTGGGTCAGGTGCACGTTAGTCTTCAAGCTGACATCTTGGCTCTTCAAAACTTTAAAAAGTTCCTGTGAAGCATATTTGCCTAATGCAATACGTCATCTGATCTCTTGACTGTTGCTTCTGTGAGTGTTGATAGTTGATCCAAGAAGAATGAAGTCCTTGACAACTTCAATCTTTTCTCCCTTGATAAGAATGCTGTGTATTGGTCCAGTGGTGAGGATTTTTGTTTTCTTGACATTGAGATGTAATCCATACCAAAGGCTGGAATACCTTATGACCCAGCAATTCCTCTACTTGGTTTTTACCCACAAGAAATATGAGCCATAACACAAGTAGCTATATGCACAGCAGTGTTCATAGCAGCACTATTTATAATCCAATAAAATGGAGACACCCAAAATGCCCATCAAGTGAAAAATGTATAAATAAATTGTGGTACATACACACAATTGAATACTACTTTCCCTTGAAGAACAACAAGAATGCTGCAAGCCATCACACAATATGGATGGACCTTGAGGACATTATGCTGAATGAAATTAGACAGTCACAAAAGGAGAATTACTGCATAATACCATTATTGTAAAGACTAAGAAAAAGAACCCAGCCAAAAGGGGGGGAAATATATATATATATATATAAGTGCTGATCACCAATATGTATGGGATGAGAGGTGGAGAGGCAGAGAGGGGAAGAAAGATCGCAGGGTAGGGAATAGACACAGGAGAGCCTGAGAGCTGGGGGTGGGGTGTGTGTCTGGCAATACTTAAGAAGTGGGAGGGGAAAACAAAGAACAACGCAGGTGGGAGAACAGTTAGGCAGGTTCCCATGGGCTAGGTGGGACAGAGGTAAATGACAATGCATGCACAACCTTGGAATAACAGGGCTTCAGGATACAGGGATTGAGGCATGGCTTGAAAGGGGAAAAGAGGAGAATAATGTTAGGATGCTTGGCTATCTTTTGAATCTTGGCTCCCTTGCCCACCATTGTGAAATAGACACTTCTTGAGGGTGGGGAGGGTATAACGATAAACATCAGAACAGACAATATGTGAGCCCGTCTTCAGCCTATAACTGACTGGAATACCTTGAGAGGGGCTGGAAACTGCCCAGACCCAAAATGAGGGAGGTGGCTATAAAGGCAAGAAGTGATTGGCTTGCAAGCTTTCAAGAGGGTGCCTAGTTCCAGATGGTGCAGGGATAGGTATAACCTCCACTGAATGATTTCCAAACTGTTGGGACCAGACTGACAAAAGGAAATGGGGATAAGATTCGTGTGGTACAACAGTGAATACCTGCTGCCAGGACTGATGGTGAGGGTCAGAAATGTAGATGCAGAATTTTTTCTTTCTTTTTTTGACAAAAGGAGGAGAGTGATTGATTTTGCAGCCCAGGAGCTAATGTCCCTGGAACCATCAAGCGAGAAGAGCAAAAAATGTGACTCTATCCAGAGAGGCAGTGAGGCCTGGCATGGAGACAGAGATGATGGCGTGGACAGATGGAGTGGCTGGGGACACGGGACTCAGGGAGTGAGAGGAGCTGTCTGCTGACAGCTGGGGGTGGGGGCTGTGGGGTGTATCCTTTGGTTATTTGATGATGCATGGAGGGGATTATAATCATTGCAATGAAATGAAATACGATAGGATGAATGTGAAGCTGAAGTGGGACAGAGGCAAATAATGATGTATGCACAACTTTGGAACAACAGGGCTCTGGGATACAGAGATTGAGACATGGATGGAATGGGGAAAAAGGGGGCAATAATGTTAAGATGCTTGGCTGTCTTTTGAATGTTGGTTTCCCTGGCATACCACTACAAAATAGACACTCTAGGGGGGAGAGAAAGGAATAGCCAGAAATATCACCATAGGAAGCTTGTAAGTCCATCTGCCTATAACTGATTGGAATACCTAAAATGGGGCTACAACGTGCCCAGTGAAGGAGGCTTCCTGCAGAGTCTCTGCATTACACAAGACCATAGGCGGAATCCTGAGCAGCATCCAGAATCTTCTGAGGTGGGAAATTTCCACTTGAAAGCACAAGCAGACCAGCCTGGAGCCGCCAGAAGAACAGAAGGTACTTCCTGAAAGATTGACAGGAAAAATACATATAGGAAAATACTACACATCTACAAAAATAAGGCAACCCAATTAAGAAATGGGCACAGGATATGAATGGACACTTCACCAGGGAAGAGATACAGGCAGCCAACAAACATAAGAAATTTTCATGATCACTAGCCATTAGAGTGATGCAAATCAAAACAACAATGAGATATCATCTCACACCAGCAATACCAGTGAAGATCAAAAAAGTTGAGGACAGTAAATGCTGGTGGAGATGTGGAGAGACTGGGACACTCCTGCATTGCTGGTGAGACTGCAAAGTGGTCCAACCTCTCTGGAAAGCAATATGGCACTTCCTCAGAAGGTCAAAAGTAGAAATACCATACAACCCAGCAATTCCTCTACTTGGTATTTACCCACAAGAAAAACGAGCCACAACACGGGAAGATATATGCACACCAATGTTCATAGTGGCACTATTTACAATAGCAAAAAGATGGAGACAGCCAAAGTGCCCATCAACTGAAGAATGGATAAACAAACTGTGGTACATACACACAATGGAATATTATGCTACCTTGAAAAATAACAAGGAAGCTGCAAGCCACCACATAACATGGAAGAACCTTAAGGACATTATACTCAGTGAAATTAGTCAGTCACAAAAAGAGAAATACTGCATAGGACCACTACTGTAAAAGACTAAGAAAAAGAACCCATACTAATCCACTAAAGTGGATTCTTAGCTGGTTGCTGGGACATAGGGGTAGGGTTAGGGGAGGGAGCGGAAGGTGGAACACAGGGCAGGTAATAGACACAGAATAGTTTGGGTGTTGGGGAGGGGGGCAATGTACAAGAAGGGAGAGGGGAATGTAAGAACAAAACAGATGGGAGAACAATTAGGCAGGTTTGAATGGACTAAATGGGACAGAGGTAATAATGATGTAGGCATAACCTTGGAACAACAGGGCTCTGTGATACAGAGATTGAGACATGGTTGGAATGGGGAAAAGGGGGGAATAATGTTAACATGCTTGGCTGTCTTATGAATCTTGGTTTCCCTGACATACCATTATAAAATAGACACTCTGCTTATATATGCTTATTCTTTAAGGTATGTTGCTATTATTGTTAAGTGTCACCGAGTGGGTGACAACCTTATATAGGGTTTCTGAAGCTTGCATCTCTTTGGGAGTAGAAAGTCTCATCTTTCTCCTGGGGAGCAGCTGGTGGACTCAAACCACAGAACTTGTGGTGCACAGTCCAATGCATATTGTAAAAACAAAACAAACAAACATCACTCCCTCTTCAAAGTATTTTGTTAACTGCCGTCTAGTTGGTTCCAACTCATAGCAACTCTGTATAAAGTTTCCAAGGAGCGACTTGTCAGTTTGAACCATTGACCTTGTGTTTCAAAGAACCTTGCACCACTCCAGCGTTTTATCCCACAGCATCACACCAGGACTCTTTATGTATAT